TTTGGACCTCGATTTGAGGTCTGATTTCAAAACAAATCACATATTTGAGCTCGTGGGGGAATGGATAATCGGGTTTTGGTTCGAACCTCGGGTTTTGACCATATGGGCCCGGGGCCGATTTTGACTTTTTGGGTAAAACTTTGAAAAAATCCATTTTCATGCATTCAAATTGATTCGTTTAGCATTTATTAATATAATTATGTAATTTGTGACTAGATACAAGCGAATTGGCGGTGGAATGAAGGGGTAAAGCTATAATTGAAACTTGAGTTGTGTTCGAGGCATTGAGATAAGTGTTTGGTCTAGCCTTAGCTTGAGGGATTAAGAGTTGTGTCCTATTTGCTATTTGTTTCTTGTTGAGTACGACGTATAGGCATGGTGACGAGTAACTATACGTTGGTGTCAAACATGACCGTGAGTCTTATATTGTGATTCTCATGACTTCGTTGTATTATTCATGCCTTGGTGAAGATTTCTATTTGTTGTGTAAAGTTGTGGAAAAAATTGTGACCTATGAACATTGATGAACGTTGACTCCAATCATATAACGAATTGTGAAAGTATAAGTGATAATTGAAACTCTAGAGCATTGGCTCGAGTTGTGAAGTGATTTGTGAAGTAAAAGTGAGAAAGAGAAGAGATCATTATGTTGGCCCCTTGCCAGACTATTGTTGAGTTATGGTTCCTTTGCATTGTGTTCTTAAATGATATTACAGACGTTTAGGTTGATGATTCTTTGTGTTGGGTAAGGATTGTGGTTATAGCTGTGGTAATTAGATGTTGGAACAAATTTGGTTATAGCTGAGGTAGTTAGGTGTTGTAACAAGTTTGGTTATAGATGTGGTAGTTAAATGTTGGAACAAGTTTGGTTATAGCTGAGGTAGTTAGGTGTTGTAACAAGTTTGGTTATAACTGTGGTAGTTAGATGTTGGAACAAGTTTGGTTATAGCTGAGGTAGTTAGGTGTTATAACAAGTTTGGTTATAGCTGTTTCTCCATTGCCGGGTTGTAATTACTTATGCCGTCGAGTCCCTTGTCGGGAAAGTGTAGACCTTATTGTTCCCTTGTCGGGACACTCGTTATAATTGTAAATATTATATATGGATCGGGTTGCATGCTGCAACAATATTATATATGGATCGGGTTGCACGTCGCAACAATATTATATATGGATCGGGTTGCACGCCGCAATAATATTATATGTGGATCGGGTTGCACGCCGCAATAATATTATAAATGGGAGCAAGTGGTACGACTACCACAAGATATAATGAAATGGGAGCGGGTGGTACGCCTAACACGAGATGTGAAAAGAAAGTAAAATCTGCCTTTGTTTTTCTTACTCTTGTTATTGGTTGGATTTTGATTCCTTTATAGTTCTTTTGATAATCTGTTCTTACTTGTTATTCCCCAAATCATGTTTCCCCCTCCCATCTTTACTTGTTTATTTCTGGTTTACGTTCCGTTGTATATCATATAACTACACAGGTTTATTTGATAGTCTGGTCCTAGCCTCGTCACTACTTTGCCGAGGTTAGGCTAGGTACTTACTAACACATGGGGTCGGTTGTGCTGATACTACACTCTGCACTCTTTTGTGCAGACCCCAATGTTGTGGACTTTGGACCGCAGTGAGATTGCTGAATATCGTTCATTAGGCGACCCGAGGTAGCTCTGCAGGCGTTCGTAGGCCTTGGCATCTCATTCTATCTATTTTCCCGTTTCTTACACGTATTTCCAGAGACAGTGTTGTATTTAATTCTTTCAGACCTGTATGTGTAGTATTCTTAGACCGTTTGTGAAACTGTGACACCAGTTCTGGGTAGTTGAGACTCAAACAGTTGCATTAGATATTCATGTTCAGATGATTTATTGTTTTCTTCCGCTTATATTAAATTTCGCTGTTTAAATGTTATTACTTCGCAATTATTAACGAATATAAAATGGGTAAAAAGAAAAGGTAAATTGTTCACTTAATTGGCTTGCCTAGCTCACACTAGTAGGCGCCATCACGACTCCCGAGGGTGGAAAATCCGGGTCGTGACAATTGCGGGAAGGGGGGAATAGGGGTGGGTGGTGAAGAAAAACAAAAAAAAGTAAATTTTTTTGAGGGGGTTTGCGCGGAGGGGGTGGTGCAGAAAAGCAAAAAAATAAAAAATAAAAAATACAAAAAAAGTAATTTTTTTTGAGGGGTTTAGCGCGGGGGTAGGGGGTTAGAGGTGGGGTGGGTGGTGCAGAAAAACAAAAGAACAGAAAATTAAAAATACAAAAAAAATAAATAAATTGGGGCAACTAAGTAAATTTCTAGATAAATTGGGTTGAGATTTCTTTATTTTGGGTGAGTTTCATAGGTTGTATTTGGACTACTTAATGGGTCAGAATGAGCTATAAAAAATAATGGGTTAACTTGGGCTCAACCCAAATTGACACCTGAGCTAAAATATTTATAGCCCAACCCATTAATCTCTGAGCCAATTGGGCGGATTGGATGAGTTTGGGCTCAAATTGCCATCCCTAAATTAAACTAAGGTTTGCTGTGTGTGCACGTTAAAAATTGCACGGGGCGACCAAATAACCTATACCCATTTTTTAAAGTTTTAACTTATACCTACTTTTAAAACAACTTCAGCCCCCTTTCTCGTCCTCCTTCTCCTCCTTCATTTTCTGCTATTTTTGTTTTTGGTTTGTTCCCAAATTCATAAAGTTATGATCTTTGGTTTAGAACTTGGTTCGGTTGGAGAGAAAATCTTGAAGAAATTGTTCGTTTTCAGAATGCACATAGTAAATTTTGATGGTATGGTGTTTTTTATGAGGTTTCTCTATGACATTGATGGTTTGGTGTTTGTTATGAGGTTTCTCTATGACAAACAGAGTATTCTTGGAATTCTTAAATTTCAACCTTTTACCTTTCCTTTGAATTCAAGAAACTTTTTGGTGGACTTTAATTTTAGGCTCTATCCTCATTTTTATTATGTTAGAAAGTTTTTTCAAAAACTTAAGCTTATATAGTGCTGAAGTTTTTACAAATAAACTAAATAATTTTAGCATCTTCTGCTGAAGTTTTTGAAAAAACTTTATGACAAAACTAATAAATCCAGGACAAAAAAATTTCAGCTTATGTAGTACTGAAGTTTTTACAAATGAACCAAATAACTTCAGCATCTTCTGTTGAAGTTTTTGAAAAGGCTTATCCAGGACAAAAAAACTTCAGCTTATTTAGTGCTGAAGTTTTTACAAATGAACAAAATAACTTAAGCATCTTCTGCTGAAGTTTTTGAAAAAGTTTTATGACAAAACTAATGAATCCAGGACAAAAAAAACTTCAGCTATTTTAGTGCTGAAGTTTTTACAAATGAACTAAATAACTCTGCATCTTATCCACGACAAATAAACTTTAGCGTATTGCCTTTGCTACTTCAGGCCCGTCTACTAAAATGCTGAAGTTTTGCGTGATTGCCTTTGCTACTTCAGCCCCGTATGCTGAAGTTATGCGAAAAAGAGGGTACGTTTGTAATTTTTTTTGCAAAGCGAGCACAAGTTCAAACGTAACCCAAAAAACGAGTATAGATACAAATCCCGTGTGAACGTTTTGCAGCGTCTATCGTCTGGGTCAATTTGCAGTATCATCCTCATGTAGTTACCGTTCAATTTTTACACTTTGATTAGGCACGAATGTTAAAAGAAGATTTTTAAAAATTTTGATTTTAAATATGTGAATAATTTTTTTATAGCTAGAAATGCTAGTCACTAATCTCATAATCTTCAATTGAAGATGTATCTTAACATGGTTAAAAGTTCCTATTGAATCAGATATGTTATAGTAATAAATAAAATGATAATATTAAAATTAAAACAGTATAGATATCACAAGGTGACATTATCCTTTAAACAAATTAAAAGAAGAATAATAAGCTACATTGAAACGGATAATAAAAAAAAAGAAGGAAGAAAATCCCCAAAAAGAACAAAAAAGAAAAGCCCCAAAAGCTGGGCGATCTTTTGAAAGGGGTGGGCGGTTTAGTCAAGGAAAAAGCGAAAGGCAGTGCTGACTCAGATCAAAAAGTCATCCACTTTATTGAGAGAATCAAGAAAGAGAAAGAGAGAAAAAGCGAAAATCTCTAGGCCACATACTACTTGTGGCTCACAAATAAAACCCCCTTTTTCTTACTGACGTGGCATACCCCCCAAAGGGTATTAAGTAGTAACCTATTTTTGGTTTCTCGCCTGGCGTTCGATATTTACGTTGGGACCTGACTTAATTCTAATTCGCGCCGGAAAATTCTATATTGGAGGATAATGTGCTCCCTAACAAATGCGGCTCCATACCCAGGGTTCGAATCCGAGACTTCTGGTTAATGATGAAGAAGTACTTATCACTTAACCACAAACACTTATCAGTAGGTATTAACCTTTTCTACACTTAATATCTACAACATTGTTGAATACTTACTACATTTCATTTTATAAATTATCACATCAAATAAACTTAAGCAAATAGATGTAATTTTAAATTCTTCAAAACATTTGAAAATAAATATTAATGAGGTGCTGTAACAAATTATTTAACATATGAAAATGGAAAAAAGATTTATATAATATAAAGAAGAGAAATATACGAGACTATCTGAAACCTTCCATTTTGGTAAACTAGAGCCCATTTGGACGTAAGAATTATTTTAATTTTTTTCCGATTTTTTTTTTAAATTAATATTTGGCCATAAAATTTTCAATTTTCATTTGAAGATGAATTTGAGAATTTTTCGAAAATTTAAAAATTTTAAATTTTTTTTCACTCAGATTACTCACAAAAATTCAAAAACAACCCAAAATTATATGGTATCTTTACACAAAGATAACTCTTCAAATTATATTTATATCGAGACACAACTCTAATTTTCAAATATACCATTTTAATTGAAAAAAAATTCAATTTTTTGGGAATTTTACAACTCTTATGTCCAAACGCCCACTAAAGACCAATCCTCAAACCAGACCCAAAGTCCCATAACTCAAAAGCACGCACAGAGTGAAAGTGTTTTGTGGGTGTCAGATCTCTTTTTCTCTGTTGAATGAGTAAAGTGTAAACATGTCAATTGAGAAATAATCTCAAAACCACTTCACTTTATCCATTTCATTCTCTTCTATTGCTACTTATACTAAGCTTTTCTATTGCTTAAATCTTTGGGACTTGCTAATGTCTGGATCAATTGCTAATAAGGACCCAGCCATTAAACTCTTTGGTCGGACGATTCAGTTGCCCGATTTTCCGGCGCCGTCTCCGGCAGATACCGGAGACTATAGTTCCTCAGCTGGAGAAGCTGAGCTAGAGCACAAGGTATATGATTATAAATTCTTCTTCTTCTTCTATATAATGACTTTATTTATTAAGTATTGTGTTTAAGTCATCCGAAGACTATTTGTTGACTTTCCCTTTGGACCATCTTGTTAGGGTTTTGGTTGATTAATTTTGTTAGGTTATGCTGAAATGGAAGGGATTCGTATAGGGTATACTTTGGTTCTTTTGTTTGGGTAGGAAATTTTACCTCGTTTGGCTATTAGGTCATGCAAACTGAAATTTTCTAATTTGGTTTCTTTCTTTATCTTGAACATATAAATTTCTCCTTTTTTATTTGTCTCCATAAATGGTTGGCTATTTTCTAATGAAAAATTTACTGAATTCACCATTTTATGCAGGAAGTTAATAGAGTTGTAATTTCTTGTGTTTCCATTCAACTAAACTCAATCTCAATATAGAGGGTTCTTTGTAACTTGTAATTTGAGGGTAAGTACCCACACCGGGTGTTTACACCTAACTAAACAATTAACCTTAACGGTCAACAAATCAAAGTGAAAATGCATGTCATTTAACCATGGTTAACTGTCAAAAAGTGTATATGCAAGACAATGTCTCATGTTAATTGGCTTGGTGTTAACACCCGGTGTAGTTAAATGTTTACCATAATTTGACTATTTTATTTGGCCATTGGCTTACCACAACTCTCCTCCTTTTTCGAGCTTGGGATAGGCTATGATTTGCACATAGTAAGAGTTTTGTTATGCTTAAACAAGTTTTCCCCCACTATATTTGGCGAGCTGTGTTTGCATAGTTCAAGCAACAGCTTTGCTTTGTACGCTGCATGGTTGTTACATGTCCTGTCAAAGTTTCGTACTTCACATGCTCCAACATACTTCAGATATTTATATATGAGCTAGACTTGTTTAGTTTTGAACTTGTCAATTGTCATTGAATATAAAAGCATCAGAGGACACAGGCTTATGCTGTCTTGTGTTAATTCCTGTAACTGATGATATGATATTATGGAAAAGTTGTTTAATTTCTATGTAATGTGAATGATGAATCTTTTCTTAACAACGATATTTAGTGCTCTAACTATATCATGAACCGTCCAAAACATACTCAAGCTGTAAAAAGTACTCAAATCCTCTGTCCTCCCTCACTAGCATCTAAATGATAATATGATTTCTATGTCTTCCTTTTATCTTTAGCCTCAATGTTCTCTGAATGACCTCGTCATCCTTCAATGATAGGGAAGTCAGTAGTCAGTGTAGGTATCAGGATCTAGTGAAATCTTGTTAAACACTTGCCTGACTTTGCCACGTCCATAAGTTATCTGTTATCTGAATAAAGCGTAATAAACTAACTTGTTTTACACACATTCTACGTACAGGGTCAGTGTGATGATTGTAAGGATGAGAATGAACATTTGATTGCCGAGGAGTTGCAGGGTCAGAATCCAATTCCAGAGAAAAGTGATATTATAGAGGAGTCACCTTCTTATAATGACTGTTCAACAGCCAAAACATCAAAAAGTGAAGAGGAACAGGCTGAAACAAGTAATTCACAGGAGAAAATCCTGAAAAAACCAGACAAGATACTTCCATGTCCTCGCTGTAATAGCATGGAAACAAAATTTTGTTACTTCAACAATTACAACGTCAGCCAGCCTAGACACTTTTGCAAGAATTGTCAGAGATATTGGACTGCTGGTGGGACTATGAGGAATGTGCCTGTAGGTGCTGGCCGTCGGAAACACAAGAACCCAGTTTTGCATTACCGTCACATATCCGTCTCTGAGACACTAACAGATCTTTCAAATGGAATCCAGCCACCTCCGCTCAAGCTCAATGGAACCATTCTTGCATTTGATACTGACAAACCCCTGCGCGAGTCAATGGGTTCAGTTTTGAACATTGCTGATAAAACTATGCAGAATTGCTCTGGGAATGGGTTCCACAGATATAAGGAGCTTGGAATTCAGGCTGGAGACAATGGAGATGATCGTTCCAATGGATCTTCAGTTACTGCTTTAAGTTCAAAGGATAGTGATAATGGGTTGCCCGACATGCCGAGACAGAACTGTGATAGCTTTTCACCTCATTTACCTTGCTTTACTGGAGCTCCTTGGCCATATCCATGGAGTTCTGTGCACTTGAGCAATGCAGTACCTCCACCTGGTTACTATCTTCCTGGCTTTCCTATGCCGTTCGTCCCTGCTTATTGGGGTTGTGCAATACCAGGTTCTTGGAATGTCCCTTGGATGTCCCCACCCACTGCATCCCAAAACCAAATGCCTCCAACTTCTAGTCCTAATTCTCCAACTCTGGGGAAACATCCAAGGGATGAGATTATTCTGAAATCAATGGGCAGTGAAGAAGAACCATGGAAAGAGAGTAATCCACCTGAGAAATGCCTATGGTTTCCAAAAACATTGCGAATTGGTGATCCAGGGGAAGCTGCAAAGAGTTCTATCTGGTCAACATTGGGAATAAAACATGACGTAGTTGATTCAGTCAGCGGAGGTTCTTTCAAAGCCTTTCTGCCAAAGAGTGATGAAAGGAACCATGTTTCAGAAAACTCTTCTGTATTAAAAGCCAATCCAGCAGCAATGTCTAGGTCATTAAATTTCAATGAGAGCTCGTAAACAGGTGTCTTTGGAATCTTCGTAAAGGTTAAATGGCGGTGACAATGCAGGAAGTCTTCAGCTGTGCTATCTCCAGATTTATCTGCCACTGGCACTACTTACCCTTTTTTTGCCCCCTCATGTAGGACCAGTTATTTACACAGTTTAGTAGGAGAAAGTTTAGGGGTAGATTCCTCAACTTATATTTACAAAATTAGAGTAGATCAATCTAGCTGCTAGTTCCTGCCTTTTTGTTTGAGTGAGGTCGGTGCTTTTTGTTTCGTAAATGGTTTTCTTGGAGTTTAGCTTTCTTAGTTGATGTGCATATCTGTATTTGAGAAAGTGAGAAACATACTAGAGTATTTGTATAAAGAATCACCCCTGTGGTAAAATAAGTTGGAGGTAAAATGAAGAGTTCCTTATTTACCTTGTTTTGTTTCAAGTGCTATTTTAATTTACCATCATGAATGGAGCTCCACTATAAATAACTTGACCTTTCCTTTCTTCCTCTATTTGTTAACCCTCTTTTCCCTGTTTTTGGGGACTACATCTAAAATAGTTGTCGATGAAATGTACTAGATGTAAATTGAACTATCCTGCAGTGGTTGTTTATGTTTTTCCTCTCCAGAGACTTAATGGGGTTATTCTCCAACTCTTAGCAGTTGTATATACGACTACAGATTGCCTGCACTGAAAAGGGCATAGTAATGGCCGATGTTTGAGAGATTAGTTATCTGGTGAATAACCAGGCAACATTCCTTTTTAGTGCCAGTTGCCAAGGGCGAAGTATAGCTTGTCATAAAGTTGCATGCTTTGTTCCCGTTTGATTACCTTTCGGGACATGACCATGGATAGGAAAAGTGTGAAGGTTGAGAATAAAGATAAAGGGTTAGGTGGCCGAGTGTTGTCCTTGTTTGTAGCAGTAGCTTTGATACACCATTTGGTGCCTTCCGCTTTTTTTTTTTCCTGTACCCCTAGTCTTCTGTTACTACTTGCTGTTGTCTTGTATTTCGGTTTTGATTGCATTACCTATTGCTAGTTTTGTATTTTTGTATTGGTTGTCAGATCGGTTTGCTTGTTAATGCCCCTCCCCTCTCCCCTTCCTGAGCTGAGGGTCTACTGAAAATCGCCTCTCTGCCTTTTTAAAGGTAGGGGAAAGGTCAGCCTACACTTTACCCTCCCCAGATCCCACTTATAGGAGTAAGTGGATATGTTGTTGCATTGTTGCATTCCTTCTTTTTCATTTTATGGGGGATGGGGTGGAGAGGGAAGTGGCTGCTGCGGAACCTTTGTTGCTTTGGCATCTGAGCTTTTAATACAAAAATAGATCTAGGGCAGGTTTCATGAGTTTACTTGAGCTCATTGCTTTCAGCTTGAACGATGAATATATTTGTAAAAAGAAATTAAAATATGTATGCCTATAATAAGATTATACTCATTTTGAATCAATTAACTCTATACATATTATTCGCTGAACTGCTACTAAAAATTGGTGGCAGAAGGAATGCAGGTTGTTGTTATCTAATGATCAACTTGTTGTAGGGTGAAGATGGAGGGCTGAAAATGTTTAATTCAATAAACTCTGCCAACCCTTATTGTTGATACCGCTAAAAATAGTTGAATATACTTTTATATGGTGTCTATGAGAGATTCATCGCTCGTATTGGTGCAGTAATACAACATGCAGTCGAATGGATAGACTCGCTTTCCCTTTAGTAAGTCCTACACAATACAAACTTGAATTAGTCAGATCAGTAGGTTTTGAATATCTAATGCATAAAGAAAAAGAAGTACATCAACCCGATGCACAATGCAGTGTCTATGTCTTGTTATAATTTCCTTGACTACTATATTAACCACAGATTTTAAATGGTGGGTCTTATTTGATTTGAGAGAATCCTAAACAACTATTTATGTGATAAGTCTTGTTGCTACCAAGGATTTAATTCTTCTGTAGCCTGGAAAGTTCAAGGCTATATTTGCAAGTTATTTGTGCTTCAAGCCTTCAAATGCTTTGTTAAGGTTTTATATGGAGCGTCCAAGTATGATAAAGTTATTGGGATTGAGAATCAAAAGTCAACTTCCATTAATATTAGCTTAATTCTGGCATTACTTTCAAGTAAAAGTAATTCTTGAAGTACTGAAACCTTCGGCCTCTACTAAAAAGGACAAAAAGAGTTTAAGCAAGCATTTATTAAAGGAGTTAAATTTATACAAGAACTATCTCTCTTTATTTATCTAATATCGAAAAAACCAAAAGAAGAGTAGTTGAAGCAAGCATTTATTAGAGGAGTTAAAATAGTGCTAGTAAATACTTCGTCCGTTTACTTTTAGCTATCCATTTTTAATTTTACACTTCCTTTAAAAAAATAAAGTATGTATTTTATAATTTTACCTATAATAATAATAATATTTTTAAAAATTTTGAAAAATAATTTTTTTCTCTTGATTTAATATAATGAACAAGCAAAAGTGAACGAGAGAGTAAATTAAAGAAAAAGAAAAGAAGAATTGGTGTGGCAAAAGAAGAAAGCTGCGTCTCTGCCTTACGGCCCAGATAAAGTACATTTGTTTGTTGAAGCTGAAGTTTAAGCGTGGAGATGTCCCCCTCCAAAACAACAAAGAGGAATTGAAAAGTAAAGTCTTTAATAGCAGGAGAAAACATTTAAATGGTGACACGTGATGCTTCCGAAGTTCTCATAATTCAAAGGCATGCTTAATTATTTTGGTTAATGAAAGGTAAAGGTGGTTAATTAAGAGTTAAAACCTCATTTCGATTTGCGAACATTCATGTGCATGCACACAAGTGATTTGACAAGCTTCTTCACCTCCTCCAATTCAATTTATGGTATTTATTGCCGTGGTAGAGCCAGAATTTTTATTAAGAAGTGTCAAAATATAAAAAAAATTAGATATACCGACAAGTCAAGAGGGGTCAACGTAAATTCCAAGTAGTGAAAAAAATTTATCTAACAATATTAAGTAATTTGGTTGAATGCGACTCCGCCACTGAATTATTGCAACTACTAAGATTAAACTCTAATAGGAGCGTTTTCCCTTAAATGGGCACAATGCAAATCTGAATTCAAAAATAGCTAGATTTATAAGTGGTCATTCAAAAATAGCCACAGTTTCAAAAGTAATCGAAATTTAGTCACTTTTCATGTAAAGATTGAACGAAAACATTGTTCAAAATCCGGAAAAATACTCCAACATAATATTTGGAGTTCCAATATAATATACCGGTCCAACATAATATACTGGAGTTCCAATATAATATACCGGTCCAACATAATATACTGGAGTTTGGAACACCGGTGCTCCAGTCTCCAGTATATTATACTGGAGCCACCAAAGTATACCGGTCCAGCATAATATGCTGGAAGTTCATACAAAGGTGCACCGAACTCTAGTATATTATGCTGAATCAGGCTCTGTTGCAACAAAATAGTGACTATTTTTCATTGACTTGACAAACGTTGGCTATTTCTGAATGACCAGTCCGATAACTCGCTAGACCATACTATTCTAACGTTAATAAGCAAATACCAGATGATAAGGTTGGAATGGGTTTAAACTCCCCAATAAAGAGTATATATTAAGATGGAGGAACCATTGCTTTTATCACATCATCTAGTCCTTGTATTGTACGTGGGTAAGATTGATTTTATTGCAGTATCAATTGTTGAGAATTAGAGAATCTGAGATAGCTCTTCTACCTGAATAGTCTTGAGACCTAAAAATATAAAATGAAAATAGCTCCTCTTCTTCTTCTTCTTCTTTTTTTTTTCGATTTTTTTTCTCAAAATTGTGTATGTCCATAAAATTTTGTAAGGTTTTAAAAAAAAGGTCGAAAATCTTTTCTTAAAGTTAGTTAATCCGAAGATAGAAAATTGTGTATACTAGTATATAAGAAAAGTATCCCCTTGGCTTTTTAGGAAGAACACTGTTTGCAAGAAGAAGAAGGAAAGAGCTGAGATTGAGTGAATAGAAGAATTTTTAGTAAAGGAGGAAAGAGCTACGTCTCGTTTAGAAGAAGAGGTTTTTTCACTTTCGAGAGGGATGATACATAAGCACTCCTGATCTTCTATCTGTATCCGCTGCTCTTAGACTTGTTAGAATCCAATATTAAAAGGAAGAATTCAATAGGTATCTCAATATTCATTTTCTTAGATAGATAAGAGATCAGCTAAAATAATGGGCATACCCCTCTTCCCCCTCCGTTTACGAGTTTTTCAAAAAATTACTTTTTCAAAACTTTTATTTATTTTTTCTCAATCCCAAAACTGCAATATTTTTTCAAGTGAAATGCATGTTCAACCATAATTATACATTTTAAAATATATTTTTTTTAACTTAACTCCAAACGTCTACTTATTTCTATCAAGCAAAAATCACGATACGTTTCCAAAGTGTTGACTTCGAAATATGCTATTTTTATACCTTTTACTAACATATTTCCCATTCCTCTCATAATAATAAAATAGATATCTTCCTTTTCAGGTCAATCCTACAAAGTTTGCTCTATTCCTTATATAGCAAAATCTTTTCCATCCAGCAATTCAAATTAGAAGAATATAATAAATACACATTACTTATTTCAGATTCAAGTAATATCTTCAATTTCACTTTTCCTCTTTTTCCAACTTGCAAATTACTACATATGTTCAGGGCACAGAGCATTATTTTAGCATATATAGATCAAAAAGTTTTTTTTAAAAAAAAGTCAATTTAGTTCAGAAAAAAATGAAAAGGGAAAAAGTAGTAAAATAATCTATTAAAAGGGCTTAGTAATAAATGGCAAGTGCACTACCTGAGGACCCAGAAATAATCGGATCTGAAACGTTTCTTACGTCTCCAAACTCTCTATATATAGCCATTTCGTAGATTTCTAGGGTCTCCACTTTACTTACTGTACGCCAAGTGCCCACCTTATTATAACCCTCTTTACTTCCTCATACTGTCACAAATCACAGACCCATTTTCCAGTTAAGAAAAAAAGAAATTTATCAATGGGGCGTTCCACTTTCGTTGTGGCTGTTTTTCTCATGCTTTTCTTCTCTCTTTCTCATGGTAATTCTTTATTCTGCTTCTTTTTGTGTGTGCTGCTATTTTACTTACCATTTTTTTTTTCATCGCTATTTTCCTTACTTGTTTTGATTTGTGTAGGAATCGGCAGAAAAATGATCGGTTCTTCTTCCCATGGCCACACCCATAGAGTTTTACTTGAGGTTTGTTCACCCTTCTTTCAGTTTAATTTTCCTTTTTAGTCCCTGCATATTGACAAATTTTTAATTTGGTCCTTCTACTATCTGATTGAGCAATTTTAGCTTTCAAGTAATCAGTGATAGAGTCAAGATTTTTGCAGAAAATTTAAAAATTTAAAAAACTGTGACTAGTGGGAATTGAACCACCAATCTAACAAA